GGGAAGCAATGGGTGAGCACCGGCAGCGCCACCACCGGTATGAGAACAGGACCCCCATCCACATCCCTAATCGCTCACCATAGAATGTGAGGTAGCCAAAGAGCGCAGCCAAGAAGTACATGAGGTACATGACCGTGATGGAGATGTTGGAGATGCACTGCATCTTCTTCTTGGAGGGACTGCAGGAAATAGGGAGCTCAGCACAGCCCCTGCAGCCTATCCCGCTGCACAACACCCACCAGCAGTGAGCACCCACCCAGCAGGGAGGAGTGATGCCAGAGCACCAGCATGGGGTTCATGGCGGCTGTGTGGTGAGGGGCTGTGTCCCCCTTCTTGGGCTGTGTGGTGGGTCAGATCACCCATCCATCCACCACTCACCCTGAGCCATATCACCCACCTCCCAGGGGTGATATCACCCACCATCAACCAGCCACTCACCCCAGGTTGCATCACACATCTCCTGGGACATCCCAGGTCCTATCATTCACCACCCACTCAGGGTTATATCACCCACCTCCCCATGATGCCCCTGCACAGGTCCCACACCAGGTGGCACTGCCTTTGATGAAGCTCATCCCTCCCTGCGGATGCCCCCACCCAGGACTCACTTCTTCAGCTCAGTGTAGATGGGCAGGACCTCAGGGTGGCAGACGAAGGCAAAAGCCATGATGGGGATGGTGTATGCTGTCTGCATGGGAGGAGGGTTGTTGAGCACTGGGGCCAAGCTGGCGCTGCCACCACCACCAGACCACTGGCCTTCATGGGGTGCACAGGGTGGGAGCACACATAAAGTCCCAAGGGTGCATCACAGGTCCCTACCTGGGAGTTCAGGGTGAAGAAGCTGGGGGTGCAGGTGCCCTGCTCAGGGGCCTGGAGGATGGTGTAGCCGTTCTGGTAGTCACTGGTGCTGACAGAGGTGGCATTGAGGCTGCCTGTGAGGTTCCCCTCCTGCTCAGGGAGTGGACAGGGTATCTGGAACTTCTTGTAGATAACCTGAGGTGGGGAGGACATGGGGATGGTCAGCACCCAGCACCACAGCACTCGTGGCACCGCATCAGCAGGAGAGTGCCCCTGCAGGGACCCCTCTATTGGGCACCCTTTGCCAGCAGTGCCCCATGGCAATGCTGGCCCCCAGCCTGCACCTGTGAGGGTGGGCATTAGGCACAGTGGGGCATATCAGGGCAGTGGCACATGGAGAGGCCACATGCATCATTTCCTCCCTGGCACCCTCTTCTGTCCCCTTTCCACAGCACTTGGCTCCTTCAGCCAAAAATAACCCAGCAGCATGACAGCACCACCACAATGTCTCTGCAGCCCGGAGCACCCAATGTCCCCACTGTCACCATGGCATGCAGCCTGGCCATGTGGCAGCAGAGCCATGGACTCCAGCACAAGGGTGCTCGGCATCTGGAGCCACCGGCATGTGCCAGCAGGTGCTCACCGAGATGAGGAAGAACACCATGCAGCTGAGCGAGAAGCCGCTGGCGTAGCCGAGATAGCCTGGGGAGGGAGAAGAGCAGCTGGTGGGTGCGGGCAGGACCCATCACCCCAGGCTGACACTGTCACCCCATGGGAGCACTGGGGTGCCAGACCCCAGTTGCAGGGACCATCACCAACTTACCCAGCTGCTTCATGAGGGCCAGGGGCAGGATAATGGTGACGGAAACCAGGATCACCAGATAGTTCCCATTCATGTACCAGTCCCTGGAAGCAGAGGGCCTGCTCACTGCCCCACTCTTCTGGGGCACGTGAGGCACAGGCGGACATCCAGAGTGGCTGTCTGCCACCCGTGGGGACACTTGAGCTGGCAGCCCAGGGACACTGGCATCCCTTGAGGCTAGCATCCCTGCTGTGCAAGCATCCCCAGCCCTGAGATGTCATTCCTGGGGACTCTTGACCTGGGGTCCTGCCTACCTCCAAAGTGATGCACCCTCAAGGGCTAGAGCTGCTGTGGGCAGGCTGAGAACTGCTGTCCTCAGCACATGTTTTTCCATGGGCAGCCCAGGGTACCAGCATCTGCAAGGGGGGCTCAGACAGCTCTTCAACACCGCAGACATGAACCCTGCCCAGCCCTGGTCAAGCACCCCAGCGCAGCCATGGTGGAGCCTGGTTGGGACGCCCAGTCCTGGACTGATGGAGGTCCCAGTGGCAGCTCTGCCCAGCATCTACCCAGCTCTCACCCCCATGCTGACAGATGGGGATGTGGGCTTGGGGATGGGGGACCCATTCCCAACCAAGAGCTCCCAATCCCCACCCCACAGCAGCCCCAGGCTCTGCTCAAGGAGGAAAGCCTGATCCCAAGGGGATCTGACGAGCAGGGATTGGAAGTTCAGCTCAGTTTAATCCCACACAAGGGCTTATCCATCACTGATGGTTATCAAAAATAGTAGTGGCTTAATGTCAGTAAATCCCTGCCACGGGCTGCACAGCTGGAGCTGAAGCCCCAGTGCCTGCCCAGGGAAGGCACAGCCAGCATGGGCAGGAGGCACTCACGTGGTCTTCTCCTCCAGGTTGAGGAAGGTCTGGATGACGAGAGGCACTTCAGATTTGACAATGTACAGGTAGCTGGACATGCAAGGCCGTGCTGCCTCAGTGTGCTCCATTGCCATCCCCTGCTCCCGGCCCTGCCAGCCCCATCCTCACCTCCAATGTTCTGCAGTGTGATGGCGATGGCTGCAGCCAGCTTCCCCGGCGTGCCGAAGGCTCGGTATCCCAGCTGCTCATAGGCACGGATGCCTGTAGGATGAGGAGAGGTGCCGGGGTGAGGGTCAGGATGGGACCCCCTGGCACGGTTCCCCCATGGACCTGGCACTCACCCACGATGCCTGAGGACTTGAGCAGCAGGTGGATGGAATAGCTGGAGAGCAGGGCCACTGCCGTCAGGAGGAAGCTGTGGGAAGACAGCGCCATCACCAGTGGGTCACAGCACTGAGCTTGGGCACAGCCATGGAGTAAACCCTGCACAGGGGCTCTACCACCCTGGCAGGTCACCCAGCCCCTCGCTGGGTGCTCACAGGGTGGATGAGCCACAGGGTGCTCACAGCCCTATCCCCAGCCCTGTGGGGGCCTGTCTCCATGCCCAAAAGGAGCCAGCTCCCACATCTTTGGGGCCAAATGGGGAAATCTGGTCCTGTATCAAGGGAGTCAAGCCTTCATCATCATCTTCCTCCTCCCTCACAGGGCACAGCACCCAGCAAGGGCAGACAGGCTCATGCCAGGGATGGGCATTGCTCAGGCAGCAGGATGTTGGTCCCTGCACCACCCCACACCTTTCTCTCCTGCACCCCTGGCACCCACTGAGGAGGACCCCCCCCACACCCAGATCCTCCCTAAGCCCTCATGGGTGCGCAGCACTCACAGGAAGAGGATGATGCCAGTGTTGGCCATGGCATAGGCCAGCCCCAGGATGCCACTGCCCATGATGGCATTGCTCAGGTTGAAGACAGACATCCCAAAAGACGTCTTCCCTTCGAACTGTGCACATGAGACAACAAGGAGGGGACAAAATAGTTACACCATGAGCTACCCCCATTCCACCACCACCACGGTGCCTGTGCCAATACTTACATCGGTGAAGTGCGTCTGCTTCTTCTCAGCGCTGTGGGGCAGGAACTCCTCCATCTCTGCTGTGCCAGTCTGGTTCTCCTCAAACCTGGCCGCCGGAGGGAGCAGGATGAGGGCGAAGCAGAGTTGGGGGCCACCATGTCCCACCCGGACCCTGGGCAATGCCAGCTGGCATTGCAAGGGCAAGGAGTAACCCAACCTCTGGCACCCCAACTTGTTCCAGGGCCCCTACCTGTCACCTGCCAGTGAGGGCACGGTGGAGGTGGTGAGCGTGGCTGTGTGCTTCCCATTGGGCACCAGCTCCACCATTTCGGCCTGGAGGGGAACGTCCGTGATATCCATGGCAGAGAGATGGATGGGCTTGCTGCAAGCTCTCCTTGGACTCTGCAAGAGTGGAACAACAGGGGTCCAGCTCTGAACAGAAGCACTGGAGGGGCTGGCCTGACGTCCCACAAGTTCTGCATCTATGGGGGATGCTGGTGTCGGGCTCAGCACCAGTGCTGGTGGCACTGCAGGGACAGGCATTGGGATGACAAGGCTGCCCAGCCAGGCAGCACCATGGCTGGGCTTCTCCCCTCTGCCCGCTCAGCACACATCACTCCACAGAGCTCACCCCAGATCCAACAGTCCCACAAGGGTCCCCCGGTGCATCCATCCCCTCACCCAGACATCCCACAGCCCACCCGCAGGGACATTCTGCTCCCCTTCCCACAGCAGGATGCCAGCCCAGCCCAGAGCCTTCATCCACTGCGCCTGCCCTTCTCCATCCCCTGCCTGCAGCGCTCAGCTCCATGCCTTAGTTTCCCC